CAGGAGTGGACTGGGGGTGTAGTGGGGGGGGCGGGTACTCCTTTTCGCACCTCTCCTTGGCACCAGAGGCTTTCTCCACTGGGGAAGCTGCCTCCAGCCCTACTTCTACTTCTGGGTCTGGGATCCTGATGCTCTGTGACCCAGCAGTGAATCACCATGGCTTTCTTGCCTTGGCAGGCTGCCACCTGCATGGTGCTCCAGCCTTATGTCCTCACTCCCTCCACAAGATGAGAGCACACTGCTGTGCCGAGGGGCGTATCAGCGTAAGCTGGATCTTGCGCACAGCCTTGGGGCTTTCTCCTCTCTCCGCCACCCCGTGCAGGAAGCCATGGCTGGTGCTCCAATCTTGTGCGGTGGGAGCACAAGGCTGGCATACTAGGCAGGTGGTGATGGCAGTTTCCCACTGAGTTGTGGAGTGTTGGGACCCTAGACCTGGAAGTGGAAGTGGGGCCATAGGCAGCTGTGGGTAGCCAGGGCACCCCTTGAGGAAGAGGGGCCGGAGGTACCCTGAGCCATGACCATGGGTTCCTCTTCTGACTCTGCAAAGGCTGAGAGGGGCAATGCAGAATGAGGTGATTGTCACTTTGTCAGCCTGCACAAAAAATGTTAGGTATAAATATTTGTTGTGATGCAGAACTACCTCCTGCCAGTTTTAGATGAGGTATAACTCTTAAATGCTTTCTGGAAAATTTCAGTCTACTCAGTGGTGACTTTTCAAAAGAACCACATTTTGCTATGCAGCACATGATACTTTTCCAGTCATGAAAGTCTTAATTCAATCCATTAGATGCTGGCAGTTGGAATTACTTTATATTGTGGTGGTAACTTGAGTTTGGAAAATCAGTGCTGCCCAGGTTTGAGAAGCTCCAAATTTGAATTTACTGGGGCATCAAGGCAAGTAGTATAGCACAGTAAATCAGTCTGGGAGTTACACCTGGATTCTTTTCCTACTTCTGATGTGATTAGAGGGGCTTTTTTTTTTGTAACTAATACTTTCCACATGTCCCTTCATTCTTTGTGTGTAGAATACCTGTGACACTTATAACAGACTTTTGATCCAATTATCTTTGGCTTAGGGAAACAGGAGAGATGGAGCAGTTGTGTGAGGATGCAGTTTTAACACTCCTTAAAAGTTACCTTTTAAAGTCACGAACAACAAAATGAAATACAGACAATCTAAATTTGGCCTTGGGGTGGTATGCGCTCAGTTTTTCCTACAGTAAAAATTCAAGCAGGGCCATAGATGTTCATACAGGAAGTTAAAGACAGGGTTTCCATTCTCATGCTGGTCATGGCAGCATTGTGAGATTTAGCCTTTAACTTACTCTAAGAAGCTGTAGCAATTTTAATACTGGGACCAAGACCTAGGCTATGTCTACACTTGCAGCTTCTTGCATGAAAGCTATGCAAATGAGACTAAGTGTGGAATATTGCTGAGCCTCATTTTATATCTAATGCACCACTATTTTTGCAGAAGAGGGCTCTTGCATCAGAAGGAGCAGTCTACACTGCCCCTTCTTACGCAAGAAAAACCCTCTTGTGCAATGCAGTTATTCCTGAAAATAATCTGCATAGTGGCTTTGTGCAAGGGAGGGGTTTATTGCGTAAGAAGGGGCAGTGTAGACACCTCCTTCTGGTGCAAGAGCCTCATCTGCAAAAATGGTGGCTCATTAGGTTTGCAAATGAGGCTTGGTGATATTCCATGCTTAGCCTCATTTGCATATTTCTCAAGCAAGAAGCAGAGTGTAGACATAGCCCTAGTGTTTCAACACTGTGGGGTGCGTGCCCATCCAATTCCGCTCCTCCCCCCCACCCCCCAACAAAAACAAAGCCAGTTTGGGTTGCATTTTTTTCAAACTGCCACTGTGTACATTGCATATGGCTCCTTCCCTATTATCTCATTTAAAATTAATGGCTGTGCCAGCCTCTTCTCTCCACACATGGTGGACAGAAGTGACAGTCACTAAGCTAATTGGTTACCTGTCTGCCTACAGCCCCTTTGTAAGTATTGTTCCAACTATTAAGGGTTATTCACTTAAATCCACGAGGGAATGAAAATATTGTTACTATGGTCTTTGAAGTACACTCAGAGTAGCATGCAGATTATTACACATTTGTATAAGTTTGGTTAGAATGTGAATTAGTTTGTCTGCTGCTAGTGTCTGAGCTGAAGTTGAAAGATGACCAATTTGGCCTTAAACAATAAAAGGTGCTAAGGAAGTTGAGGCAACAAGCATGTTTTAATAACCTCAGGACTAGCTTAAATGAAAAAACTGCTTAACACAGCAGCAATGGTTGTATAATATGTGTGAATTTGCCAGACTAAGGAAGGTGTCCTCTGCCACCAGTCCCCTCCTCAACTAGGCTTCTTTAGCCCTGGCTAGGTTGCTGGCCCACCTGCTTATTAGGCTCTCTGGTCCAGATCCTACTGGACCATGAATGTTGCTAGATCAGAAAGTGCCTGGTTTCCAGAGGTGCAACCTGTACTGTCAAACACTTGACAACATGCAAGGTGTAGCAGCCCTTTCCTAAGTGCAAAAGGTTGATGACTGGTTTGGGGAGGAACCTTAAGGCCTTTACCTAATTACAATCTAGGCCTAGTTTGAAATGTAACTTTTACTGATACTTTGGTTTAAAATGGCAATGAAATCTCATGTAAATGATGAATTTATAATAATTTACAGGTAAGTGCTGCATCTGAACTGTTTTGATTTAAGGATATTTACTTTGTATATATATATACACACACTGCTGTTGACATTGAAACACTAATCCAATGTTATCATATGCATGTCACTGTCTGACCTTCCTATAATTCTCTAACAGTAAAAACTCAGCATGCTGAAAAGATTTCTGCTTTGCCCAAAACTATCAAATATATCTCCAGCAAAGTCACACTCAGGAAATGTTCCCTTTAATCTTTTCCATCCATCTATAGAATTTCATTTTTTGCACATGCCTCAGTACACAACCAGCAGTAGAAACAAAAACCCAAGCTTTGAGCATTCTGCTGAGCAGCCTCACAGGTGCACTGCTTACAGGGAACACTGCACTGACATGTTAGGTATGAACTTTAAGGGGTTTCCCCCTCCCTAAAAGCAGATGGATTCCTATTAGGATGTTACATTTAATCTAATCAATTAGTCAATAAGCAGGAGAGCCACGGCAGGGGGGCAGCAACTAGACTATCCAATAAGCTTTTGGATATCAGCTAGTCAACAAGTCACTTACACATACCTAATCTCCATACAATCAGTTCATAGACAGCCAAGATTTCTCTTTACAAATCACAGTCAATTTGTTTCAGAGGTATCCAGCTAGGCAATGGATCAAATACCTAGAAGAGGCACTGTAACATGGATATCTTTTGCAGGTCCAGTACTTTTTCAAGATTCTGGACAACTGACAGAGCATGCTTTTTCCAGTTCCTACCAAAAGACAGACACCAGGAGAGATGTGTTCATTCGTTTATTGTCCAATGTTTTAACCTGACTGAAATACAAGAGCAAGAGCACTGTGCTCCTGGCTATTGATTACATGTTAGAACATGAGTTTTGCACTTTAGACAACATTTAACACCATTCTATGGGGTACTGCATTGCTTTTATAAAGTTCAAAATAAAGATTTATTTTCAAACAAGTGACTTTGGTTTTTCATACATTACACTTTTTCTTGCAGAAAAAATAAAATTGTACAACTGCATAAATATAAAATCTTCCACCATGAAAATGGTTAAAACATTCAGTAAAGACATTAGCACCACACAATGTGATGCTGCCAGCGGAAAAATAAAATATACACAGCAAATAATTCACTCATCAGTGGTGGGATAGTCTGACTCAGATCTCACACAACATACTGGAGGATGAGGGTGGAGAGAGAGAGAGCAAGCAAGCATTCACTACAAAGCACAGTACACAATCACCTTTATTTATTCATGAACTCAAGTTAGTTGCCCCAGCCACCCCTCCAAATAAAATACCCTTACACCACAGGAAAATAAAGAGGTTCTATGGAGTGCTGTTTAGTCTCAAAGGTGGGCCTTTATCTTTAAAAGGAAAAAAGAACCATGCCAGTTCTACTCCCATTGAGTATTTACACCTCGGAGAGCAAAATCTTTGCTCACAGAAAGTAGAAAACAGATACAATACATGGCTTGAAAAATGACCAGAGTATGTACCTATAGTACTGTACACTAAATAAAATACACAAGGCAGCAATACTTGGGGGCCAGAAACACTGCTTACTACAAGTCAGTTATGGAATCATAATTTACAGTAAAAATGGGCATGTCCCAAGGCTCAATTTTGTTTGTCATTTACAGTAGAATAAATATTGTCACTATTGCTACACTTTAGGTTTACATTCTAATCTAGTAATGCAGAAAGCTAGTGTAAAGCATATAGATTACGTGTAGGTCCCATACGTATGACAGTTTGTTCAAGACTAGTAGGTTTTTGTTTTTTTACTTTTTAAATGGCTAGGAGGGGAAAAAGAAAATTGTGCTTATGATCAGCTGCTCTTTATGTCAAATTTCACTTCAAAACGTCCCTGAAAACGGTCTTTGTCACTGTAACCTATGTTTTCACCGTAGAGCTTGCACTCCACACGCACTTCTGTGTCGTAGGTCAGGTTAGTGAACTGCACTGCTAGGAGAGGCTGGAGATATTTTGGCTGGAGCAGCTTGCCATAGTACGGGTAATATTGCAGTGGAAAGCCAGCATAGCCAGCCATCCCATAATATTCAACAGGGCCAACTTTGTCAGCATCTTCCTCTTTCTAAAGAAGAAAAGAAAAAAAATCACTTGTCCACACCCTATTTTGTAAGTATTCCCTTCACTGAATGCCCATTCAAATTGCTTATTACCATGTGACTTGGGTGCTGAATAGTGCAATGCAGTTTTTCAAACCCTTCCATGTCCCTCAGGACTGGTACATAGTAGGCCAATTTGTACAATGTAGGCAATTACATACTCAATTGATATCAGCCAGGATCATTTTCCTATTTACCTTTCATGAGGGAATTAATTTAACCAAAAAACCTCACATTACATCATCAGCGCTTCAAGTTGTTTTTGCACCTATTTTGTAAGATCAGCACTATTGTTCCCTGGCTACTCATTTTTATCCAGAGCAGTGGATCAAGGAACACTCTGAATTTAATAATTATTCCCTCTTCGTGCTTGTCCAAAATCCTGACAAAACTTCCTATGTGTCTGGCACCTTACATTTGTTAAAACTCCAAATTAAGCAAAAAATAATCTCTCTCTTTCAGTTAATATCATTCTCTAACAAGTTTCGTATTTGAATAAGTGAAATAACTGGAGGAAAGGATATTGCTACAGTAAAACCTGTGTTATCTGGCACGCCCAGGGATTAGGGCATGCCAGTAACATAAAAATGCTAGTTATCTTGGGGGGAAGCGAGGGGAGGAGACAGGAGCCATGCAGGGGCCAGGATGTGGCCTGCTGGGGGGGGGGGGAAGGTATGGAAGTCGTGGGGAGTGGGAGGCAGAGATGGCAGAGGCAGCCTGCCAGGGGACTGGCCTGCCTGGGATGCCAGGGAGCCATGGCCATTCGCCCTCCCCCAGGTACATGCTGCACATTCATCTGATGAGTGTCCCAGAACTTAAAGGGCCAGTTTCCTACAGTTTTCCAGATAGCACAGGTTTTACTGTACTTGGAAGAGACCTTCAAAGGACAGCTGAAACAAATTGCAGGGAAATGCCTTATTCCTAGGTCACCTCTCTGAGCTTGGATCAATGACAACATTCAGTTGTCATTTAATTTGTCATTTTTCAGTAACCTTTGTGAAATGAGTTGCTTCAAATTCAGTTCCTAATGGTAGGGTAGTCTTACTAAAAGAGTAGGGCTATGTCTACACTTGCAGCTTCTTGCACAAGTATGGCCATTCTTGTGCAAGAATCTGCAGAGCATCTACACTGCCCGCCCGCTCTTGTGCAAGGAAATTTAGAGTATAGCGTGGTAAGAGGGCTTCTTGTGCAAGAGAGCAGTGTGGATGCTCAGCAGGGATTTCTTGTGCAAGAAAGCCCTATGGCTAAAATGGCCGTCGGAGCTTTCTTGTGCAAGGGAGCGTCCACACTGTCACGGGAGCTCTTGCGCAAAAGCACAGCACGCACATGGCAGTGTGGACGTTTTCTTGCGCAAGAACCCTTGCACGAGATGCTCTTGCGCAAGAAGCCGCGAGTGTAGACATAGCCTATGTGTGTGTGCATTTATCAGCAGAAATGTCAAGGAGTGAATGGGTACCCAGACTTGATTCCTGTCTCAAGCCTTGAAGCAGACTCACTTTTTTAAATCCATTTGCACCAATCTAAGATCCAGAGCCAGAAAAAAAAAGCTCCTGGATAATAAACAGAAGAACTGAATGAGGATGGAGCCACATCCCTAGCTTAGAAGTACAAGTCTCTGCTTATGCAGAGCTGGTATGTGTTACGGGTTTTTGCTTTCTCTGCCCTTGATGGCACAAGACTGAGATCATGAGTTAGGAAAGACATGGAAATCTTCTCTCACTACAGGCAGTCCCCGGGTTACATGGATCCGACTTACATCGGATCCCTACTTACAAACGGGGTGAGGCAACCCCGCACTAGCTGCTTCCCCCCAGCAGACCAGGGAGACGCGGAGCAGCTTTTCTCAGCAGACACCTCAGCTTGAGAATAAAGGACTGAGGGAAGTGAGGTGTGGGAAAATAAAACTGAGCTCTGGAGAAATGTTTGGCTAGAGTTTCCCCTACAATATGTACCAGTTCTGACTTTCATACAAATTCAACTTAAGAACAAACCTACAGTCCCTATCTTGTACGTAACCCAAGGACTGCCTGTATTTTTAAGGCCACTTCACGTTCTTTCCATCTTACCTTGGCACTGCAATGAACAGGCATGACGTATTGATTGTATTTTCCCATCACCTCAGCAGGGAGGCTCTCGTTTAATGGAGGCTAGAAGAAACCCGAAACAAGCAAGTGTTAATGTCATGCTGGATAATCTCTGCTCTTCAGATAAACTCCATTAGCAACATGCACACACAGATTAGTTTCTAGCATGTCATCCTGGTGCACAGAACTGCACCAACAAGGCCCCATCTTTGTGTGTCAAAGTCCTAGGGGGTGGGCAGAGGGAGGACAACTACTGGCACATTCTTTGTTCTAGGTCAGTTTCAAAGCCAGCTCAGTTTGACAATGATTTTCAGTCATAACTTCAAGCAAGCAGCCATGGAAGCCACTAATTCACCAGCAGTAATCTAAATCTGCCAACAAGAGAAGCTCTACAGACAACTTCTTGCAGGGAGGGGAAGTAAATACAGTTCAGGAAAGGTAATTACAAAATCCTGTTAGTGAATTCACTAGTAGGGAAGGCCTGACAGCCTGAGAGAACACCTCCCCCGCTACTAAATGCTTGTTGTCAAAGGGCAAAGCAAGCCTCCTAAAGATATTATGGAGCAGCTTGTGTCACATGACAGTAAAGTCACAAAGCTCAAATGGGAGTTTGCTCTCAAGGTACAGTGCCAGAGAATCAGCTTGGAATTAGACTGGTTGAAGTAGGAGCAGAAACTGGAAGTCCTGACCAAAGTGATTATCCAGGTTCCCAAACTGGTCCAGGGAAAGCAGGGGAATCACATAACACTGGCCGCCTCTTGTTTACATCTGCTACATTAATATGAGGCTACTCGTCTGCCGGAGTAATGCTAGTAACAGGAAGCACATTCTGGGGAAGTTACATATCAGAATATTATAGGCTGTGTCTACATTGGCAAGATTTTGCACAAAAGCAGCTGCTTTTGTGCAAAATCTTGCCGCCTGTCTACACTGGCTGTGAGTATTTGCGCAAGAACACTGACGTTGTAATGTACAAAATCAGTGCTTCTTGCGCAAATACTCTGACACTCCCGCTCAGGGATAAGTCCTCTTGTGTAAGTGTTTTTGTGCAAGAGGCCAGTGTAGACAGGTAACCTCAATTTCTTGCACAAGAAAGCCCGATGGCTAAAAAGGCTATCGGAGCTTTCTTGCGCAAGAATGTGTCTACACTGGCAAGGATGCTTTTGCACAAAAGAAAATCTTTTGCGCAAAGGCACATGCCAGTATAGATGCTCTTTTGCGCAAATACTTTTAACGGAAAAAGTCTTCCGTTAAAAGTATTTGCGCAAAATCATGCCAGTGTAGACATGTCTACTAAAAGAGGGAGATTGCCCTAAACCAGTTCTTACAATGACATACCTAGGGAGATATATGGGCTCTGGGAAATAATGTACCAGGGACTCAAAAAGGCAGCTAGAAAGACCTGTTTTTCGGATATTACTTTCCCCCGTAAACAATTTCTGAAAATGCCCTAAGGATATTATGCAGTGGAGACTAGGAGATGTAGATAAAATGTTTGCAAATCTCTGCTCTGCAGCTTTAGAGAATATACTTCATTGGATATATGCTTGACTGTCAAGATCTGGCATGTTAGCACCTAACTCCAAGTTTATGTGGTTCCAATAAATGAGCTGCACTTTGACCTGTCTAAAATAGCACAGAATTCTACATGGCTCCAGATCACAGAAGGGCAGGAAAGGTGGGCTCCAGTGTACCTATACCAGCATATTTACATATCATGCTTATACCATTTTCTCTGTGGTGCCAGGTGGGACTGATAACAGCAAGCACAATTAAGAGGATGTGTTTGACCAGTTTTTCTGTAGGAGAACATTAGTGGAGGATAGGTTTTTACAGGCCTTTCTAGCAATTATTTAAGCCTCACATATACCTTCCAAGGAAGATATTACTAGCTCCATTTTGCAGATGGCTTTTCCTAAGACCAGTCTTCTGTTCCTAGTAGGAAACTACTTGCTCATTACCAGGAAGAGAAAAGAAGCACTTGCCTTTGGTTTGAAGCCTAGAACTCTGTTGAGCTTGACAACGACACATGGTTTTCCATCTCTGTATCCATAGCTGGAATCTGCTATTCCGGAGCAATTTTCTAGCCATTCACGTTTGAACCGGCAGACTTTCTTCTGACCTTGGGCATTATTAAATGCTCCTCGCATTATGTAGTCATCGGGTTTGTCTAGGATGGAAGGTGGGACAAGGAGAAAAAAGTTTACATGCAGCATGAACTGACATTTGCAGGCTTTGACAGAAAAGCAACAGTTTTTCCTGGGACTGGAATCCTTTGTTTCAGGCCTAGTAGTAATCAACACAGAAACAGAAAGCACCTTCTACCAACTGACCTTATGGACCTGCATCAAGCCACTCAGTAACAGGTTCACTACTGATCTTGGCAAGTCTGTTTTCTACTGGGTGTTTCCACAAATTAAGAACATGTGTGGGCTGCTTCTCTGATCTCTGTGTTTGGGTCACAGGAGGGATTCTGACAAACACATCCTCTCCCCAATGCACCTCCCCCTTCCTTCGAGTTACCACTACATGCAGTCCATTTTAGGTGCTTTGCTGCATTACATTAGGAGGAGAAAAGCTTCTCCATGACCCCACCACCCCTTTCTAAGTGGCCAGGATCAGAGGTGAGGGCTCTCCCCTACAACAGTTGATATCCCACCTAAATCAGGAGATGCATTCAGAGCAGTGCTGTAGGTATTAGCCAAAGCCATCAACTGCAGACGGGAAGGACATCACCGTCCATATCACAAACTCATTCTTGTCAAGCGAGTTAAAGAAAAAAAAAAAAAAAAAAAAGAGAGAGAGAGAGAGAGAGATGACTGACCCGAAGGACAGCTCATCAGCAGGTGTAAACTGATGTAGTGCCACTGAAAGTCCATGGGGCTATACAGATTTACACCAGCTGAATTAGATGGCCAGAGACATGGAAGTGTGCATTCTGCAACTGAGATGTTCTGTCATGGATGGAGATTGGAAACTACTTACAAGCATTTCAAGCCCATTTTAAAAACAAACCTGTTGGCTCATCTGAGATCTACTGGCCACTGGACTTACAGGAAAAAAAAAAACAAACATTTGGCTATTGTTACTGGAAAGGCTACTTGCTCTGAATTTGAGCCCAGTCACCTGGTTTGGGTCAACATCTACAACAGCCAACATACTGTCCAGTTAGGTACCTGTCTCTGCTGGAGTCACAATTTAAATGGCTTCCAGATAACAAGCCCGCCTCTTCTCAGTCTGGCTATTGGAGCAGAGACGGAGCAAGTCAAGAAGAAACGCTTCAGCTACAGATTTCCCTTCAGCCCATGCAGGGTAGGAAAGGCAGTTCAAAGAGACCCAGCAGGGCTGTCAGCATGTCTCAGACACCACAGTGGCCAGGGAAAGGCACACTTCCTCACACTAACCACTTTTGGACACAGATTTAAATTCTTAACTCAAATTTGGGCACACAGGTGTGGAGCTGTCATATGAGCTCAGCAACAGCCTAACTATTCAGTAGCAGCAGAGAACAGGAAAACCCCTATTGTCTTTGAGGGGAAGAGAGAAGGACCAATGCCCAGTGCTTTTCACAACCCCACCCACGATCTTGTCAGCATTCACCAGTGAAGCTCCCCATCTCATGCATCCTACCTGGACAATGAGCCAGCCACGAGCAACTCTAGGACCAGCTCATTCATCTGAGAGGCTAACGATAATCATCATGCTGCTGGTCACTATGAAATAGGGATGTGAACTGGTAACCGGTTACCTGGCAAGCATCACCCTTACTGGCAGATCCTACTGGGTAATCGTTAACTGGTCTCCTCTCCTCCCCTGCAGGGGGCTGGGAGCCGGCCCCAGAAGCCTGCCTCATGCTACGAAAGAGATGCTTTACCGGGCTTACAGCAACAGCATCAACAGTGGCCAATATTATCTTGATGGATGCATTTAGGAGAGGATGGTTAACAGCCTCCTGCAATGTGACAACAATAGGAAATTCATATCTAGGAGTCTACTTACCAGCACAAGTGTCAAATATCATATCGCTGGCTTGTTGATCACTGTCATAGTTCTTCAAGAATTTGTTAAGGCCCTCCACATACTGTCCATAACTTTGGGGATCAGAAATAGAAAAGGAAATTTCTGTTTTTAGTACCTGCGGGATCAGTGTTAGTCCTAAGGAAAAAGAAAAATAGGAAATGAGATTAAATACCCAAAAGTCTCATGGCCTCAAGGCAACATTATATGTACATGAAATAGTCCGTTCTTGTATACACTTAACTCAGATTTCAGAGCCTGCACAACCCATTCCTACTAAGTTCCTTCAGATTTTAGCTCATTTGGAGGGGATAGGCTTACACAATGTAGCCACTGCTTTCATTGTTGGCCCAGAATGCTGTCAACATTAGTGCAAGGGGCAGCATTTTGGGTCACTGCACATGTGTGTGTTTTTAACTACACTTTCAACATTTGTATCCAGCACTGTTGCTCTCTACCAGTTGTGCACACGCTAATCCAACCCAGACCTGGCTCAGCTGCACAAGATGTAAGCTGAAAGCAGCCTGCTGTCGATGAGTGTACAGCAGCACAAGAGCCCATGGTGCAGGGCCCAAGCAAGCTGGCTCGAGATACCTCCCAAACACTCCAACACATTCCAATCGTGTGCTATCCTGAATGGGACCTTAAGATAGGTAAGGAAGAGCACAGACTTGTCCTAAGCCAGAGGTGGGCAATAGTAGTTGATGGGGGTATGCCAAGATTTTGGAAAATGGTTGAAGGCTGCACTCTTCCATGATATTAATGGAAGAGGTGTGGGATCTGGGATGGAGGCTGGGTGAAGAAGGGAGCTTGGGGTAAGGGGTATAAGTGCAGGAGGGAGTGTAGAGTCTGGGAGGGAGTTTGGGTGAAGGACCTGGTTGTGACCTGGGGCACTGGACTGGTGTGCAGGGGTTTAGGCTGTGACCTAGGACAGGAAGGGGTTGTGATCTAGGGTTCAGGAGTTTGGGCTGTGACCTGAGGCAGGGGACTGGGATATGGGAGGAGGTACAGGGGTTTGGTTTGGGACCTGAAGCAGGGGATTGGGGTACAGGGGTTTGGGATGTAACCTAGGACAGGAGGGGGTTGTGACCTGCGACAGTTTTGGGGTGCAAGGTCTGGGAGGGGGATGGAGGATTTGGGTTATATGGATTAAGGGAGCAGGAGTGTGGCGGCGGAGAGAGGGAGGGGCTGAAGTGCCAGAGGCAGGCTCTGGCCAGGAGACTTACCTGGGTGACTCCCAGCCAGCAGCCCAAAATGTTTGAGGCAGCCTCCCTGTCTGCCCCACCCCATGAACAGGCTGCCGGGGCCCCCTTGATGTGGGGGGGGGGGAGAAGAGAAGGAGGAAAGCATGGTGCTTTGTGTGCTGCCTGTTATTCAAACAGGCAGCTCCCATTGGCCAGAAACTGGCCAATGGGATTGTCCTGGGAGGTGGAGGCAGCTCATGAAGCCTTCTTCCCCTCCCCCTCCAGGCTCACAGGTGTGCAAGAAAAATAGCCCAGCAGCTGCATTTCTGAGCAGCATGCAGGTGGGGCTCCCCACTGTGTCCATGGGCTGGATCCAGTGGCTTGGCAGGCCACATCCAGCCCACAGGTTGTATTTTGCCCAGCTCTGGCCTAAGCTCTGAGATGCCTCAGAGAGATTCTAGTTTCTAGAAGTGCCTAAATGAGCGAGAAGCCTAAATCCCACTGAGTTCCAATACCATTTAGGTGCTTGAAACTTTTACTTAATTCCTTGGAGGCAACCCGCCTTCTGACTGGCCACTTTTACAGCCAGAGATCCTGTTAATCTTGCACTGAGCCCAGCTGAGCACTCCATCGTCCCAAGTCACTTGCACCCTTCTCCACTCTCACCCCAGGATGGGCCCCTCTATGTCAACGCTCTCGGCCCATTCCACCTACTCAAGCCCTCCACCAGCAAGTCCCCCCTGCCTGCACTCCTGCCCCACCCACCAATAAAATAGTCCAGCCCCTTCCTTCCATCCCTAGCCCCACCTCTGTCCCCCATTCCTACCCCCGCCCATCCTCCCTAACCCCTCCTCTTCCCTCCCCACACTGGGTATGAGGCTAGTTCATCTAAATTTAACATATCGAACAGTTGATGGGATTTCCTCCCCTCCCCCACTGCCCCTGTGGGGCTTCTGCTTTGGATAGTCTATGGGGCTCTTGTACATTTAAAAAACAGAATTGCAGCAGAACTGGTATCTGCTTCAGTCCCCACTTGTGCCATTTCCCGCTGTGCTTCTACCTCCCCTGCCCTCCATGGAGATGGTACTGGGGGGGAGAACGGGATTTTAGGCAGGCCTCCCCCCCCCCTCCATTGCTTCCTCTCTATGATAGAGGCAGCAAGGGGGAAGGAGAGTAACTAGTCGTATTACTAGTCGACTATCAGATAAGCCTTTGCTAATCGGATAGTCGACTGGTTACTTGCATCCTACTGCTGATCCCTACACCCACCTCTTTCCTCCATATTCCTATACCCCCATCCTTCCCTAACCCCTCCCCTCTGTACACGCAACCGCCTGTCCCCCTGCCTCCATTCTTATATCCCTCTCACAATCCCCCCACCCATTCCCACACACATCCTTATCCCTTTTCCTCCCTCCCTATGCTCACCCTGCTCCCTCCCACCAACAGGCAACCTAACCAGTGAAGAAACAGCACCAGGCCCATATGCAGGAATTTCAGAAGGGCCAGGGCTGCTACAGGTGCTGTGACAGCAGGATCAGGGCAGCTGCCTGGAGAGAAGGGGCAGCAAAGAGGCCATTTCTAGGGTGCTGTGATGTGGGGAAGGGGTATGTCTGTGGGCAAAGGAAATGGAAAGGAGGCAGAGGGAGAAGCTGGAGGAAGGGGCAGAGACCAGGGGGTTCCTTTGGGATGCCAGGGTGAGAAGGGCTGAGGACACACATGGAGGATGGAAAGAGGGCCAGGGAGCCATGCAGTGAGGGGGGTCTCCAGGCACCACCATGCAGACACACCCCTCCCGCCCCCTGCATCCACCTGGCTACCCTGCCCCCACTGGGTCAGGTTGGCAGCTGCCCCAACACTGCTGAGCCTCCCCTCTGTGATGCCTCAGGGATTGCCGGCTTGCAGCTGCAAGTTCCACCAGGATGGCTCAGCGCTAGTGCAGCCACTCGGGGTGTGGAGGAGGACAGGGTGGTGGGCAGCTGGGGACATGGAGCCTACCTCCGTTCCTGGTGTAAGTGGGCTGCGCCCCAGGCCTCACACTAGCTGAAGGGGGGGCAGAGAGCTTGGGAGGAGCATGGGCTTTGTGGCCCCCATCCCCAGGCAGCAAGCCAAAGCTTAGCCCATCCCATGCACACAGTAGCACACCACAGGCAGCCACCAGAAGGGGACATGGCACAGTGGTTGCTTCCCCCGAGCAGGGGGCCAGCCCAGCGCACAGCCAGCACCTTCCCTTAGCCACCAGGCCCCACATCATAGAATCAGAGCTGAAAAAGACCTCACAAGGTCATCAAGTCCAGCCCCCTGCTCAAGGCAGGGCCAGTCCCAATGTTACTTCCCCATGGGCCTGCTCTCACGTGGCGCCGCTGGGAAAGCCTCCAATGTCCCCAGGTCCAGCTGCCCCGAGCCTCTACCTGGAGTTTCCCCCTCTGAGCAATGGGAGCAGCGGTGCTGCAGCCCCATTCTCTTGCAGCGGGCTGATCCGGAGCAGTGACCAGGCTATGGATGGAATCGCTCCCTGCCCCGGACACTGTTCAGGGACCGGCAAATCCGCCTGGTAGCCCAGTCTGGGCAGATCCTGCCTCCAAATAGTCCTGCCTGCTCAGCTCTGGCTTGCAGCCTTTCGAGAGGCACAGTCTGCCCAGGTCGGGCTGCCAGGTGGCTTTGCCGATCCCCGAACAGTGTCTGCGGCAGGGAGGCTAAGAGACGCAGAGTGATGTGATCACGTCACTCTGTCGTCCTGCAGGAAAAAAAAATATTATGAATAAAAGGGGGGGGGGGGGGAGATTATGCAGATAGAACAACTCAAGGTTGGAAGAGTGAGATGGTTTCTAAGAATATGCCTAAAATCCACTAGGGGAAGACGTGGATTTAGGAAGCAACACAGGCAATGTTTCCTCTAATCTTTTGCATCCATGTGCAGAATAATGTTATGTGCACCACCAGCAGAAACAAAACCCTACCTGTGGGCACTCTGCTAATAAGCTGGGTGGCCTCTGAATCTCTCAAGTGGCTGCACAAATGCCATTTACAGGGAACACTGAAGTTAGCAATCCAGGATCTAGTTATTTAGAGGCGCCTCTAAGCCAACAGCAAGAGACTTAGTATCTGAACTTTAGCTCATCTAAGGGAACTGAAGAACCCTCCTCCACTGCTTCTGCTCTGCTAGAACAGCTCCAAACCTGGAGACAGAGGGACACACACTTGGCTTTTTCATTACAGCCTTCTAAAAATCTGAGCCAGAAGGGGTGGTAGAGAAAAAAAATTGATTGTTGTCCTCTCACATTTAGCAAGGAAAATTGGTCTTGGTGTAACACTGCTCTCAAACTTCAGCTCAAAATGCAATTAAGATGTTTCGCTTCCCTGCCACTCTCTTAACTGAGGAAGAAGAATGCATGTGGACAGCAGCCTTGGATTAAACCAAACTGGGAAGATCTATTCTGACAGCAGGACAAAATTCCCTCCCATGGTGAATGATGGAACACAGGAGGAAAATCAGAACCAGAGAACGCTCCATTCTTCAGTGAACTAGCCGTTTCATTTTTACAAGCCTTAAATGGTGAAGTTTCACTGCTAAGCATTGGTTTGCTCTTACAAGTTAGACTGACCTGGCTACACCAATGAAGGCTTTGACGTTTTTGCACCCTCGGGGCCAATGTCAGGTTGAACTAATCCCCAGCGGAGATGCAGCAGGGTTGATGGATCTATACCGCAGTGCTGCAGCATTGATACTGTGGCACTGGAGGTGGAAGTTGTGCTACGTCACACTGCTCATCTGCTGCGATCCGAGCAACATGAGGCTGTCCAGGCAGATCACTAAAGTCACACATGCAGGATCAGAAGGCTGACAGCTACATGGAAGTGGGGGGCAGAACTGAATGTCAGCCAGGCATCCTGAACACTACTCCAGCCCCATGTAGCCTCTGCACTTTACAAGCAAAATTTACTTGCATGAGC